ACGTTGTCGACTCTTCTACGTGCCACCATCGGGAAAACTCTAGGGAATTGGGTTGAGTGCATACCTCATATCGAGTTCGCTTATAACCGAGCGATACATTCGGCATCGAAGCACTCCCCATTTGAGATTGTGTACGGTTTTAATCCGATTACACCTCTTGATCTCATTGCCCTACCCGATCACGAGATTCTCAATCTCGACGGGGCCAAGAAGGACGAGTTTGTTAAGCATTTACATCAAAAGGTACGAGACAATATTGCGAAACGAACCGAGTCCTATGCGCGACACGCCAATAAGGGACGTAAGACGGTGACCTTTGATAAAGGCGATTGGGTTTGGCTACATTTTTGACCCGAGCGTTTCCCGGAACAGCGCAAATCCAAGTTATCACCTAGAGGCGACGGGCCATTTCGAGTGCTAGAGCGAATTAACGATAACGCCTATCATCTTGAGCTACCCGATGATTTTAATGTTTCCGATTCTTTTAATGTGGCTTATTTACTTCCCTTTGATACAGGTACAAACATTTCGAGGACGAAATCTTTTCATGAGGGAGGAAATGATGAGGACATCCCGGAGCTTGGAGCAGGAACGGAGCTAGAAGCGGAGCAAGGAGCAGAACCGGAGCTCAGAGCGGGAATGGAGCCGGAACTTGAAGATCCAAGGATTGAGCCCACACGTCCCGTTCGCATGGATCCTCCGATCACTCGATCCAAGACACGGACACTTCGACAACAATTCAATACCTTCGTGTCTCGTATCGTGTCCGAACTCACGCTCGAACGTGCGTGCTCATCCTCAGCCGAATCCGCCACGGCTTGTCATGTGCTTGTGTGCGAAGAAGAGAACACTTAGGATGCAAGCTACTCAAAGGAAGCTTCTTGGAACCCAAGTTATCTTCCAACAGCTAGTATCTCCCCATCTACCTCATTAATGGCGAGAATTGTTGAAGCCTTGCATGTTGAGTTGTCTTAAATTTCTAGTTGTTAGTATTATCTATTTAAACCCATGTAAACCCACTTTGAGGGAACCTTTTTGCTTGATCAATTTCGAACTAAGTCTTTGAGACTCTTCTCCACATCCTTTTGTGTCGAGTTAAGCTTGATTGGTCCGAGTTTCGCTTGGTTGGTCCGAGCCACCCTCTTGGTTCGTCCGAGAATCACTTTGGTTCGTCCAAAGTTGTATTTGGTCTGTCCGAATACGCCCCTTATCCCTTCGCCATCCACCCTTTCATTCGGAATTGAGTTCGAGAGTCCTCTTGGACGAGTGATTGATTCCGAACCCCTTTTCACCTCTATCTCGTCCATCTCTATCACCGGACATCTCTTCCGCTACGCCGAGGCGTGTATCATATGTTCTACAGAAAAAGACGGACAAACAGACAGAAAATATGCAAGCCGCTTAGTACACATACTAACACAGACAATAGATACAATATGACAGGCTCCCACTAAGAAAAACACCCTCAATGAGTTTCTAAGTGAGGTAGGATCCATATTTCACATGCTTTTGAGTCAGCTAGGGCATGACGCTCAAAAACATGCTATTTAGGTAGACAACACATTGTCAATCATATCATATGTGATTCCTAGATGAGTATGGGATAGTGATACGCTATCACTGCATGTTCCTCATCCTATCCTTACCATCAGGTCCAAGTCCGACTTGATAACCCAATTCAAGCTCAACCATATTCGAGCTATGAGAATCACGATTTCTCCATACTGCCTCACCAAGATAATCAG